TTATATTATATTAGAGTCCGTTAGTTTTCTGTTCCCGCGCGTTCCCTTCCCCTCCCTAACTAGTACTGAACCGACTGTACGGCGGCCATGACGCGCGCGCATTGTGTTGTGAATTAAAATAAATTAGAACTGTGAAACCTACTGTGAAACTGGAAAGCTAGCGAAGATATCTTCGAGACCCTGAAGCCCAAGAAATCCGCAGAACCATACAGGTACGTGACTGACGCTTCCACTTATTAAAATAAAAGTAAATTCCCTAACATTTTGGTAGCAGAGTAGTTTCCCAAACAGTGACATTTCAATAAAAAAATGCCTATATATTGTCCTGATGCATAAACTATATTACTGTAAACTTTTATCAAAATCTATCCTGTAGTTTTTGTGTGAAAGAGTAAAAAACATCCATACTTACAAACTTTCGTTTTTATAATATTATTAAGATTAAGATATTTTATTCTGTATAAGCTATTGTTACTGGAGCGAGAACACAACTACTTATATTAATAAAAACCAGATACTAATACTAGTAAAAATGTGTATTCTTCCAAAAAGGGATCACAGCAAGAAGTAACAAAACAATATTAGTTAGTCAAAAGTGACAAATAAAAAATAGATATAAAAAATATTAAGTTTATAAAAAGAATGGTAGACAAGCTGCCAGTAACAGCTATATTACTGTAAAGTTTCATCAAAATCCGTTCAGTGGTTTTTGCATTAAATAATTACAAACATCTATTCATCTATTCAAACTTTTATAATTATAATAAGATTCTCAGTCAATGAGTATTCGAGCTGTTACGTCCTGGATAGCCAATGAAACTAGTGGACTGTATTAATAGGTTTAATATAAAAACTGTTATGAACAACGGACAGATTCAGATAAAATTTAGAATGGAGGGATTATTTGTAAGCCGGTAAGTGTCGATGCCGGTCGGACAAGAAGTGCCGGTGTCCGCCACCGGCCGCAGTTGCCGATGCGCAGCACCACCCCCGCAGGCCGCGGAGCGGTGCGTTGAGTGCGTAGACACGAGCAGTAGCAAAAGATTAAATAAAATTCTCATAATCAAGCTACATCTAGATCAAGCTATACCTACCTTAAGCTACCATACTTACCATATCACAACTTAACATAAATCCAGAATACTGGATGTAGCTTAGGATATGTAAATTTGAATGACTTAGAACTTACATTTATTTTATTAATTTTTGCTTTAGTATCGCATGAAATTTGCAATTTCAATTTTTTAATAAAAAATAACTCCTTAGCCATAACTCATGTAGAATTCTCATCTCAATTGAACCACTTCACATTCAACAAGAAACAAAGTAGAAATCAGTTTTTTTTTCAATATTTCTTACATACTAAATTGATCACGTGACTGCGCTATTAGATTCTAAAATTTAGTTTCAATTTTCCATTTTACTTCTTGGCGCTTATTTAGTTCCATAAATCACTAGTTTTGACTTGATATTTCTTTATGAATAGTCCTATATTATTAAAGGAACTTCCTTACCTCGTTCTATACCAATTTGAACATTTATTACTACTCTGCCCTATCTGTTTCAGGTAAGAAAGGATCATTGGTAATATGGCTATAGAAATAAAACAGGAATATAAAATACAAAATAAAAACGTTAATGGCATCATTAATTACTAAATAAAACATTTGAAATAACATCATTCACTTAAAACCTATAGGATATTGCTAAATGGTTTTACAATAATATTAAAAAGTAACACACTATAATTACTTACCGCTAAATTTAAATTACAGTTAAATAAATGCAATATTCTCTGTAATAATTAAATTTAGTCCACGTTGTGACTAAATGTACGAAAACAAATACCAAATACATTAGTATCAATTATGTAATAATACATATAATATTAGTAAGTACGAAAACAAATACCAAATACATTAGTATCAATTATATAATAATACATATAATATTAGTAATGAAACTAAGATTATATGTATTATTAATCGAGTCTTTACATGAATAATTTTATGGTAAACGAGCTGCACTCGTGACTTCGTCCGTGGCATTTAAGTATATTTTTCTAAAATAAAAGTAGCCTAAGTTACTCCTTATTACATCAGCTACCTGCCAATAAAAGTCCCGTCAAAATCGGTCTCGACATTTCAGAGATAAGCCGGAACAAACAAACCGACAAAAATTGTAAAAAGTGGTTTTTTGGTGTACGTACCGTATTTATATTCATATGCATGTAGTAAAAAACGGTTATTTCAATATTCATTCCAATTTTATTTATATGTATAGGTAAAAGTATAAATACTTTTACCTATACATATAAATAAAATCATATAAAAAACATCAGGGCAGTCAGCTCGTGACCACGGCTAGAGCAACCTAGTCAAGCGTCGAGAGAAGTAAATACCTTTATTTACCAAAATTATTCGTGTTAAGATCTAGTTAACAGTATAAATAATGTATATTAAATACGTAAGTTTAAAAAATTAAATGACAATTGGAATATCAAGATAATTTCATAGATAAGAAGAATTCAGAAATGACTGAGTGTAATTAAACTTAAGATTAAGAAAACCATAGAGTAGTTGTATAACATCGGAATAGCAATCTCTCGCAAAATAGGATATCCATCTGACAGTAACTCTATCGCTGTTCGCTTTATGGTAAAAACAAATACGATATTACAAAGTGGGATTGCCCACAGGTCGCAGGAAAGTCAGAAGAAAGTTGTTATAATTTTTTTTCCTGTTATGTTACAAGTTATAAATCAACTATTACGAACTGTAAAGTTGTCTACAATACTGTATATACTATTTGGTAATTTGTTTTGTTACATTTGGTCATATGGCGTATAAGCATGTTCTTTACCAAAGTCTCGCAACTGCATTGAGAGTACATTTTCAAAATTACAATATTTGTTTTTTTTATTTCTATGAATGTTGGCGATTGCAACTAGCCATTAAATGTATATTAAAAATAATATTATTCGAATTGAAAATAGAATGTCATCCTTAGAACATCAATATTGTTTTGTTTTTTTTAAGGAAGAAATTCTTCTCAAATAATAAATCGAGAAGTGTGTAGTGTGTACACACTTCTTTCGTCTATATATATATATACGTCTATACTCGTATATCATTTTTTTTCGGACTACTCTAATGCTGTTGGCCGCAGCTGGCCTTTACAGTTTCACCAGACGATAGGAGGCGAGTGCAGATTGCACTCCAAACCCGCGGAAGGACTTATGAAGCGGCTGAAGGCCAACTTCCACCTGACGGATACGACTTTAGTCTGAGGGCACCACTAGGGGTTGGGTCGGCTCAGGCCGTCGTAACATCGATCCCCGTTGAATTAGACGGGGATCGATCGGAGGGGGCGTATATCCTATACAGAAACTCTGTAGCATGTTTTTGATAATTAACATATTATGCATAACTTACGAGACTTCGGTATGAACGTTGATAACTTAACAAACAAAACGCATATAAAAAATAATGTATAAATAAATTAAGTTATTGGCAACATTGACTAGAATATTGGGTTATTATTGTTATTATTGCCACATCGCACAATACTGCATTTAATTACATCGCAATAGGGTAACTTTTAGAATAAGATTTTCTCTTTATATTGCACTCCCCGAAGGTGTATACTAACTTCGAATTATTATTAATATTTATTACTTAATATTTTTTTCTACGAGCAAATTGGTGATGATACGATACCCTAAAAGCGGATATACTTGAGAAGTTGGCATCTAATCGATCTGGCCTACAAGTGGGGTTGTTTCTCTACACAAGTATACCAATAAGCTGTATATCAGTATATAATATTATCAACTATATTATATCTTATTTAAAACTTTTATTTGGGATTACAAACATTGTATGGTTAACGTATTTGCATTATGGATTCCTAAATACTGGTTCGAAACTAAAAACTAAAAAAAAATCACTGTAGATAATAATAATAATCTCAGGACAAATAACACAGCACCATCTAGACCCAAGTTAAGCTAACTAAAGCTTGTGTTATGAGTACTAGATATCTGATACAAATACATAGATTTTTTTTTCCAAATATATGCATATTATATATAGGTTTTCTATATATAATATGTACACGACCATCGGAAATAAGGCAGTGTATTAAACCATTAGACTACCGAGGCCGTCGGTTCGCAATTGCTCGCTTTATGTGCCATTTTGTTATGACCCTACATCTGATAGACCAGACGCCAAATTCTCGTGCATAGACACTTTAACTCTATGCGATGATGTACATAAACAAATCAAAGTAGAAATTAACTAAATATCATTATTTAGACACTAAATTACTTGTTAATTTTCTATTATAAAAACCAAAGCCATATTTTGGTTTTTGTTAACGGATACATATATAGGAAAAACCTCGACCGATATAATAATAATACTCCCAAATATTAGTACCGTGTGAGGAATAAAACCCACGACCGTCGAAAGAGAAGCGGTGCGCTAAACTGCTAAACCATCCAATCAACATATTGCAAAAACTGAAACTTACATTTTCTACCTTGATTTATTAATGTGTAATGATTATATATAGTGCAAAGCAACGAAGAGGTTCTGTGAAAAATCTACGCACAATGATTCTACAGTTCTACGATATCATGAGAAACAATTGTTGATTATAAAACTTTATACTTTGCTACATTATATATTATGGAATGAGAATCTGTTAAAAATATATATACCTATAATGATAGACGATCTGATGATATGAAAGAGAATATATGTCGTTTTATACAGATTGGTCCTTATATTTAAACAATCGTAACATATTACACGTCATAAACTAAAATCATGTCTTTCTAATAGCATGTAAGAAGTCTAAATAGATACAAATGAAGAAATAATTCCCCCTATACCACGGTACAACGCGTTTTCATGATATTTCTGTACTGCGAAATTTATACTTTGACAGATGAAACTTTTTGATCATACTCCTAAAATTAATGTCGATAGAACATTATTTCAGATAGCTCTGATAGCGAATAAACATGTAATAAAACTGTTTTTGGTATTATTTGTTCTAATTGAATATAACAGTTTTTAATTACACGTATATTAGTTTGTTATTTAAAATATTCTTAGTTTGATTTTAAGTAAACGCACTTATTTCATTCGTAATCTTGCATAACGCCTATAAAGGTGTTATATGAGAAGACTCGTTCAACACATTTTGCTACAACGCCGAACGCATATATCGTGTTATAGAGGGGATTATTGTTATAAAATCTTACTGCTTCTTAAGCTTTGACATCAAATTTATCAACGAGTCTATTGCTATCTGGCGAGTCATCAGCAAATTTGATCTCATTCGACGAATCAGAATTTTCATCAGCAAACTTTATGTCTGAGAAATCTGTTCGCTTCAATGTGTCTGCATTAGTTTCTCTTGCTGTATCATTGACTCGTTTCAAAGTAGACGAATTATCGAAATCATTACTTCTAATTTCCCTTCTGTGTACTCTTACAGGGGATCTGGTTAATGTCAAGTCTTTCATGGGTATCGTCACGGGATTATCGTCCTTCTTTCTTTTATTCCTCTTTGTCAATTTTGGCGAGTTTTGCAAATCACTTATGCTGAAATTAAGAGGAGTTATTATGTTTCCTCTGTCAATGACTTTACGTATTGATTTGATAGACTCATTAGATCTGTTGCAGCGATTGTCAGGATTCCTTCTAAGAGTGCTTGACGTAGGTCGTTCCTCGGGAGACTCTGTGTTACTCCCAGGATCTGGTCGTAGTTCTTTTGGTATCACTTCCTATAACAAAGTATTATATATTTTTCAACAGTTAACAAAAAGCAGGACATACTCTTTTTTATTCTTAAAATAAAGAACAATACAGTAAAAATTGGACAATAATAAGTGTACAAAAGGCAAATTTATTGCTATGGCACTAAGCTCGTTTTTTGTAGAAAATGCTTTCTGGCAGAGAATGGCATACATATGGCATCTCTGCCTATGACAGGGTTGTTTTGTTGTTTGAAATTTTTCTTGTTCGCATTGTAACTTGGCGACACTTTTGCCGCGTGATTATAAGAAATTCGCCACAATATCAATTTTATCTATGTAAAAGGCTTTTATTATAGAGCAATATATTAGACTATTGAACTGTTTAAATTTTAGGTTTAATTAATAAGTAAACCGTTATGCTTTAAATTAACCCATGTTGAAAACAGATATTAATTTTCAAAACACGCATTAGAAAGTTTGCAAATTTTATAGCTGACTGTGACGTGAGGGATGCGCGCCGAATAATTTCCAAACATATAGGACCATCAACATTTTCATGTCATTATACGATAGCGTGACCAGACGTCCCGTTTTGAATGGGACTGTCCCTTTTTATAATTACGGTATCCCGGAAACGAAATCTGGGACGCAAAGTTGTCCCATTTTAAAATCACGAGAAATTTCAGTATTCGAGCCGGTTGTGATGTTGATAATTAAGGTGAATATAAAAAAATCATGCCAAAAGTTTCGTTCTTACTTAAAATTTTTACCAGCTATATAATTAAATATATTATATAACGATAAAGACAAATAAACAAAATTTACTTACTTATTATATTTATCAGGTATGTTTTTAAATTCATAATTTTTAAGCTAACTTTATTTGAACAAATTAAAGGGTGTTTATTTCATTGACTATCTGTTAATGGTCCTAAATAAACCAATGTCCCGTTTTGAGTCAAAGAATAAATGGTCACTTTATTATAAGATAAACGTGGTGATATTACTGAAAATGGACTTTAAAGCTAAAAGTTTAGAGTGGATATTACAAAGTTTGTACCTTTAGTTAATCCATTATTGTACTAGGTGTGACATATATAAGTACGTATATACATATAATATTCAAATTTACATGTCTTTATGTATATATAGCATAATTTAGCCACTTAGTTGTGCACGTTATTTTATTTATATTTCATTAAAACCTACCTAAACGGAAACTTTCACTTTTATTTCAATTCATGTGAAGATGACAGTTGAGAAGAAATGGCAAGAAACTCATTTAAAAATATATTCTAATTATCCTAAAGGGACGCCTTTTCTCATATATAAAATTCTCGTGTCACAGTTTTCGTTCCCATACTCCTCCAAAACGGCTTGACCGATTCTCATGAAATTTTGTGAGAGTATTGAGTAGGTCTGAGAATCGGCCAACATCTATTTTTCATCCCCCTAAATGTTAGCGATAGTCCACCCCTAATTTTTTATTTTTTAATTTTTAGACACAATTTTTAGTTTCTATTTTTTTATGATACAACATACAAAAATACATACAATCCTAAATTTTCACCCTTCTATCATCAACCTCTATTTTTTTATAGCGTTATTAATTTATATGGCAAAACAACGTTTGCCGGGACAGCTAGTAATAATATATTTCAGTTATTGTATTATATTTTTTAAGCTTTTTAATTTTAGGTTGTAATTGTACAATTAAGTTATGTAAATGATATAATTAGTTAAAATCCTAATAATACTACAATTTGCAATAATTGTTATTTGCTATTCTAATTATTTACTTATTTGGGTGTATTTTGCAATGACTAAAACTGTGCACGATTATAATTCATTTAGAATTCAGTTACACCGTAGATTGGTGTAAGTACTGTACTTTTTACATCATTTACAATATTACCATTATTTAAAATAAAAACTTTATTCCTTTATTATTATGAATACCATCTATAGATTTGTATTTTCGATTCTTATAATGTCTTCGTGTATTAGTTTAAAACATATTTTTAAATATCAGGTTTATTTCATTCATAAAATATACTAGTAAATCATGTAAATAATGATATATATAATGTGCCAGTAATGTTTCTTTCCAATTCTTCTCAACTGATGTAGCTACCTGAACTAGGTAGGGATAGTGATAAAAATATGACATGCACAAGAGGTTGAAAGGTACTCTGTGAATAAATTATATTTACTGTGACCATGGGTTTTAAAATTAATTCAACTTACTTCGTAAACAGGTGCTTTGCTATTGTCGATCTCCTTAATTATATCTCCTTCTTCTAGAGGCGGGATCCAGACTAAAAATGCCGGATCCATTCCGAGGTACGAGCCTGGAACTGAACCTGCAACAATGTCATCATTAAAGAAATTGTAATGATGTTATGCAATTAATGTAACATACTATTATGCAAAAATATTCATCATTATCAGCGCCATTTACATCATCAGTTACAGATTTTATCAACTGTAGACTTAATTCTACATAACGTCTCTCAGAAATTATATTGAATACAATAATAAACTGCTATCTATTAACACGTGTAGTACGTACTGAACTATAAAGAATTATAACAAATAACAATTACGAAATAAATGTAAACTATGAATTTAGTATTGGACGAAATCAAAACTAGATCATCCGACCACTCTGCAATATGTTCTAGTTTTTGGTTAATTTGACTCACAACGATCTCAGCGAGTTTGAACGATTTGGAAATCTGGAAGTTTTTAGTGTATAAATGAAATTAATTATCTACTATGCATCCATCCTTCATATTTTCATATAACCTACATATATATTATAAACTATTTACATAAATAGTTATACTATAGACTAACTTACCAGCATTATTAACTTCGTAATCGTAATAGTCGATCTCCATTTCAGGATGTGAAGTCAGACTCAGATCAGACTTTAGGAGACGACGGTTGCAACTCTCTTTTGTATGCTTAGGATTATCACGGATCCTGGCGGCTGATACTCCACTGAGAGCTGGAGAGTACCATCCCTAAAATAACAATATCCTGATTTATAGGGCTAGACTTAATAATATAGATATATTGTATTTTCCTGTGATATCGGTATTAGAATATTATGTCAACACTCCTGTTCGTGAAGGGGTCAGCTGTTTGTTTGTAGAGGCTGGTCTGTTATGATTACTATGACTGATTTATTTTGTTACTCAACTATTTTTATATTTTATATTATATATATATTATGACTACTTTGATTTCATGTTATTTGATAACATATATTGGCGTAAAATTTTACACAATAATAATAATAATAATAATCTCAGTACAATTCACACAGCGCCATCTAGACCCAAGTTAAGCTAGCTGAAGCTTGTATTATAGATAACTGATACAAATACATAGTATTGTTTTTTCGTAAATACATATATATTATACATAGAAAACACTCAGACCGATACAAACAATCATGTTCATGACCCACCGAGGTCGTCGCTGAAAAATCTAAAGTTGTATAAATATTTGTTTAAAAGAGAAACAGGCAGGTTTCTTGCTTATTCTTGTTGTTTAAACATGCATTTCATATTAAAGGTAGTTAAAAAAAAATCCTGAAATGAAAGTTTATTTGAATTTCGATTTATTGTAAATTTATTTAAAAGAGAAATAATTTGATTATTTCCTCTTCTATTCTAAGTTAGGGTCTAGCTCAGATGTTGAGAATCTGTTAGTAATGAGGACCAAGTGGTAAATATTTTAAAAGTGGTATACTTTACTAGAAGCTAGCTAGACTACCGAGGCATTCTATAGAGGCTGAGATATCTGTTTGAATTTCTTCTTATAACACAATGTACATTATTGGGTACATAAAATTGAATTTGTGTTTATTCTTTAACTTAGAGCGTCTGGACCAAGTGAAAAGAAAAGAGTGATATACCGCAAGACCACAGGGCCGTCAATCGAAGCCAACTTATCTGTTTAAATTTTCTTCCGATAACTAAGTAATATTCTTTTATGTTGTAATAATGTTTAATGTAAAATTATAAACAAGTTATGTTTCGGTAAAAAGTTATACTTTATTCCGGGTACAGAAAAGAGTAAACCATTTTTGCAATATCAAAAATTATTATAAATGTTTGGAGAAAAAGTTCTTGTTTTTGATTATAGACTTTTTTTATTACTTGCTTAATAACTTTTTCTGTTATACATATGTGAGAGAATGAGGTGAATTATTGGAATAATGATTTTCTCAAACTAATTGTAGTTATTACTTACGTTGGTGAGAGTGGCAGCAGATGTAGAAGACGAGGCGCGACTTACACTCCTATCCTTCTCCCACACGCTGTCTCTGTCTTTCTCGCTACAACTGTCCCTCTCACTTATACTCGTTATGCTTGTGCTGAGCTCAGCAGTCACCGTCTCACTGTTGCTTGATTGCTGAGGTGGTGAAGTAACCTAATAAAAAAACAAATATGTATTTCTTTACATCATATCTACTGAGCGAGCTTTACAGCTCACTTAAGAACATATTTTCGTAGACTATTTAGCAAATAGTATTAGGTATAAACTTAATATTTTCCTTTTAATTAATGTGTAATATATAGTAATTATATATAATGTACACACAATAATTATACACATACACACAATAATTAAATAATTACACACATATACACAATATTTAACTATCCAAATAATTTAGTGCCATCACACACCTTCCCAACTGTATGTAATGAGAAAATGTGTACAAAATTATCATAAGATATCATGAAGGAAAAATCTATTCAAACTTATGATACGAATAATTTATAATTCATTATTGATAACATAAATGATTGAACCAGACAAAAACAGAGTGACCGACATAGACCGAAGAATTGCGACTCTGAAGTGGCAATAGGCATGGCACATAGCTCGTAAGACAGATGGCCGTTGTGGCAGTAAAGTCCTCGAGTGGCGACCACGGACCGGAAGACGCAGCGTGGGAAGGCCTCCAGCAAGGTGGACCGACGATCTAGTCAAGATCGCTAGAAGGCATTGGATGCGAGCAGCGCATGACCGATCGACGTGGAGATCTTTGGGGGAGGCCTATGTCCAGCAGTGAACGTCTTCCGGGCTGCGATGATGATGATAATGAACATAAATGATGATAGATGGGGAAGAAAGGTTATGGAGTGGAGGCTGTGTATGGGTCGACGGAGTGTCGGGCGCACTCCTGCAAGATGAAGCAACGACATTACGAAGGTGGCCGGGAGTGTATGGATGCGGAAGGTGGAAGAGCGCACATGGTGGAAGTCTTTGCGAAAGGCCTATATCCAACAGTGGATAGAGACATTGATGATGATGATGATGAACATAAATAAGATAATATCTACAAGCTTACCTCTTGCACATTGACATTCGTCGCAGATACAGTACGAGAGCGTTTTATCGGTGATAGAGCGATGTTATTCCGGACAACTGGTGCGCTGCTCGCAGACACAGACTCCGGAGTAACAGTAGCCTGACTGACAACACTGGGTACGCTCACAGCGCTCGCAACGCTTATATTATCAGCTTGTTCTTCAACGTCTGTGTTTTGATCTTCTTCTTCTTCTCTGTTAAAATATATTTATTTATTAATTTCTGTTGTACTAGCTTTTTGGCTGCTAGATGGCGCTGAAGTAGTAGAATGTAAATATTTCCTTTTTGTGTTTTTTTTATAAAAAAATATATGTTTTTTAATAAAAAGTATCCTATCTTAATTCTAATACCTCGAATAACATGTGTACAAAATTTCATGATGATCGGTTTAGTAATTTTTACGTGAAAACGTGCCAAATATCACTAATTTCACATTTCTAATATTACTAGCTACTCGCCCTGGCTTCGCCCGGGTGTATACGTATTATACATATAAACCTTCGTCCAGAATCACTCTATCTATTTAAAAAAACCGCTTCAAAATCAGTTGCTCAATTAAAAACATTGTTTAAAGATTTAAGCATAGATAAGGACGTACAAACAGCGACCGCGACTTTGTTATATACTATGTCATGAAGTAAGGATTGCACAATTATAATATAATAAATTTACACAAAGACGTAATATGCACTTCGTTAAATATAGCAACGTGAAAGAGATTTCTTAAGATTAATAATAATAACCCAGTACAATTTATCAAGCACCATATATAGATAGTCTGTTTTTGAATATCGGAAACTAAATTGACAGGTTTAAATGTTAAATTTTAAAATAATGTTACCAGCTCTAGTAATTTACTTTATAGTCCCAAGCTAAGCAGAGCTTGTGTTATAGGTACTAGACGACTGATAGGTACAGTTAGATATTATGTTAATATATCTATACATATAAATAAAATTGGAGCGTCTGTTTGTAATATTGAAATAACCGTTTTTTACTATATGAATATGAATATAGATACAGTACATACACCAAAATAACATTTTTTACAATTCTTATCTGTGTGTTTGTTCCGGCTAATCTCTGAAATGGCTGGACCGATTTTGACGGGACTTTTATTGGCAGGTAGCTGATGTAATAAGGAGTAACTTAAGCTACGTTTATTTTAGAAAAATAAAGTTAAATTCCGGTCGAAGTCGCAGGTACAGCTAGTACATAATATAACATAGAATACACCCAGACCAATACGTTCTTCTGTCCGATGTTTTTCTAACGACTAACATGGTGAAGGAAAACATAGGGTAGTAGTTAGGGTAGTAGGGTAGTAGGTTACTACCCTAACGACTAACATGGTTAAGGAAAACATTAGGGTAGTAGGTTACTACCCTTAAATCGTCCTACCTCTTCGTCTGAGACATCGTTTACTTTTGCCAGAACGCTTGTACAAATAAATCCATATAGTGCAGCCATACGGTAGCAGTTATAATGAATATTTGATGAAGCATACAAAAGAAACTTAAATGGCATCGTTAGCAATGCATACTAAGACTACCCCGGCAATATTAAGCTAGGGTGACGGCACCAATAATGAACAAGACCCTTTTATGGACACTTAAAAAATAATAATTAAATATTAAGCTAGAACACACTTATTTTTGCTCCAGCAACACCTTAACTCAAACGTCCACCTTTTAGCTGTCATAATGTCAAATGTCATCGAAAACGGCCATTTTGCTTCAAAATGACTGACCGTTAAATTTGTCGTGTTGGTTGTCGCAAACAAAAATCTGTTTTATTGTGAAAATCGTTAAGAGAGTGAGTATTGTTTTTTGAAAATTACTTCAATGTCTTTGTTGTTTCCTGTACAATCATGTTATTTTACTTAAAGTTAAAGGATTTTAAAAGAAAATTAAAATTAACGTAAACCGGTAGATTCAATATTTTAATATTTTTTACGAGATGTTCATTACTGGTTTCTAGATTATCGAAACCTCTAGTAATGGACATGTGTCGAAAGTTAACTTTTAGAGTATTTTGTGAGAATGTCGCTTAAAATAATTCTTTATGTCATAACAATTATTTATTTAGTCGTGATTTTTATTTTGGACAACTTCTACCAGTAATGAACATGTGTCCAAGATTGGATAATTTTTTGTGTCTATAATTGGTACCACTGGATTTCGTAGATGGCGCCAAAAAAAGATTACACCCCTGAGCAGATGGGGCAAGCTGTTGAAGCAGTCAGACAGGAGAGAAGATTGCTACGGCAGCAAAGAGGTGGGGTGTTCCGCGTATTACACTATATAATAAAATATCGGGCAAAAGTCCTTTGGAGTGTGCAATGGGGCCACAAACAGTTCTTTCAAAAGCCGAAGAAGACATTTTAGTGAAATGGTTAGTAGCAATGAGCGAAAAACATTTTCCAGTAAATCGTGAATTATTAATGGAAAGCGTACAAAAAATAATTGTCGAGCAAGGGAGACCTAGTCCTTTTACTAATAATAAGCCAGGGAAAAAATGGTTTCAATCTTTTTTAAAGAGGCACCCAGATATCGTCGAGAAAACCGCGCAAAATCTTTCCAAATCGAGAGACGATGTATGTGAAGAAGCTTTGCGAAAATGGTTTTCTGAAATCGACTCATATTTAGAATAAAGAGGCCTCAAAGACATTTTGAAAGATCCAAGCCGAGTTTTTAATACTGATGAAAGTGCTTTCTTTTTGTCACCAAAAGCAGGCCGAGTGCTTTGCAAACGGGGTGAAAAACACCTTTATAACTTTAGTGGAGACGAAAAAGAGAACCTTACTGTTCTTGTAACAGCTAATGCTTCGGGACAACTTGCTCCCCCTATGATTGTTTTCAAATATGAAAGAGTACCGGCGCACATATCAGCGAGCGTTCCCGGTGATTGGGGAATAGGAAAATCAGAATCGGGGTGGATGTGCGGAAGCACCTTTTATGAATTTATCACAAATATTTTCGATCCTTGGCTACAACAGGAAAACATAAAAAAGCCTGTTCTATTTTTCTTAGATGGACATAAATCACACCTAACGTTGCATTTGTCAAATTATTGTTCAGAACATGGCATAGAGATAATAGCATTATACCCGAATTCGACGCACATTCTGCAACCTATGGACTTGGCAGTGTTTCGTCCCTTAAAGGTAGCTTGGCGAAAAGAAGTTTCAAGATGGCAGCTAGATCACCTTGGACAAATATTAAAAAAGGAAAATTTCGCCCAAGTATTACGAAATTCATTAGCTACAATTTCAAAAGACTGTATCCAAAGCGGGTTCAGAGCTGGAGGTTTGTACCCATTTGGATCGGATTATATTGATATGAGCAAAATAAAAAACAAAAATTTAACCCAAAAAGAGCATGACCCAAAACAAAGTGAGTTTATGAAATATTTAGATAAAGAAAAAATTAAGCTTTTTTCACCCCAAAAGTTAGAACTTTTCAATAAAATGTATTACAAGGATAGAGACACTTTACAAGAGTTTTTACATCCAGAAGATGAGTCATTGTACGTGATTTGGGCCAAAAATAAACATTTGAGCCAGAGCGTTATCCAACTAGATCCGACATCTCAGACAGATTTAGCTGTAGCTTCAAATAAAGTGCAGCCTTCGACATCGGGTACTGACAATGTTATAGCTTCTAGCCACTTAAATGAAAAGTCCACTAACAACCGTTCAATGCCACAAGAGCAACCTTTGGAATCTGTATTAGACAAAATTATGCCATATAGTCAGAGCGTAATCCAAGTGACGCCGACATCTCAGACAGATGTTGCTGTAGCTTCCAATGAAGTGCAGCCTTCGACATCAGGCACTGGAAATTTTATAGCCCCTAGTTCCATAAATGAAAATACCACTGAAGACCGTATAACATCAACGCCACAAAAGCACCCGTTAGAGACTGTATTAGGTGTAATTATTCCATCACCATTTATAAATGAAAGTTAAACTTGAAGTGGAATTCTTTTATATTAAATTGTTTATGTTTATTAGTATGAAGAGTACGTAATATTTCTTTTATGGGTAAGTTGCTAAAGACTGAAAAGCCTACTTTGAAAAGTCGAATGATTAAAGACTGAAAGTAACAATGTTTTTATTTAATCCATCTTCCTTTTGACAAACTTTTATTTAATTTCCTGTCAATACTATTGATAATACATATTCTGTGTCCATAAATGGATGTTCTTAATTGGGGATACATAGTTCAGGGATAGTCCATAATTGGGTGTCCATTACTAGATTTCAGATGTATATCACTGGGGTTTAGCGATCTCCTATTTTTTCTATTTTTTTTGCAAAATGTATCGGTTTGTAGTAAACAGTAGTAAGTTTATTGTATTCTTTGTTTATTAATATATTTGCCTACTAACTGTCATCCATGTTCACTCAAAAAATCTGATGTTATTCAAAGAAACAAGAAATCGTCTGCTTAAAATGTCCATAATTGGTGCCGTCACCCTAATATCTTTCTTCTGCACATAGAGACTCGTAGCATGCAATTTAATATGGTAAATACTGTTCTAAAACTCGCTATTAAAGTTTCCGAGCGTGAATGGTATATAATATTTCACGTATACGAAATAATAGCCCCCTCCGATCGATCCCCCGTCCAATTCAAACGGGGATCGAAATTACGACGACCTGAGCCGAGGTTCGAATCCCTAGTGGTGCCCTCAGACTAAAGTCGTATCCGTCGGGCAGGAGTTGGCCTTCAGCCGCTCCATAAGTCCTTCCGCGGGTTTGTAGTGCCATCTGCACTCGCCCCATAACGTCCGGTGAAGCTGTAAAGGCCAGCTGCGGCCAACAGCATTAGAGTAGTCCGAAAAAATTGAAGTTGGCCTTCAGCCGCTCCATAAGTCCTTCCGCGGAGTGTCATCTGCACTTGGCCCCTATCGCCCGGTGAAGCTGTAAAGGCCAGCTGCGGCCAACAGCATTAGAGTAGTCCGAAAAATATAAAAGAAATAATAGCATGAACATTCGTAATAGAATAGAATAGTGTTAACTATCGTGTGACGCACCATTAATTAAAAATGGTAAAGTCAATAATCATGTAACCTGAAACGGAACGTCAGAGGCCAGAGCCAAAGTAATCTATGTGACATTGACAAGTGGATGACGGACGATTGAACGGAAGCAGCGGGAGTTTTGGAGCGAAAGTGTTTATATTGATAT